ACACTGCAACCAGAGTTTTTGAAAATCTTCACCCTGGCAGGCATTTTCAAAAATGTTCGGTTTCAGTGAACTGGTGCTGCGTTTGCATGTGGACGAACGGCCAAACCGCGTAGAAAAAGCTGGGGTTTTAAAAATAACCGCGTTCGTGTGGACAGGGCCAAAGAAGGTGTGAAGGGAGCCCTTTTGGGTTCACTGAAGACCAGGTGTGCTGCAGCATTCTGGATCATTTTAGGGCTTTTTACTACATGCTGGACGGCCAGGCAACAAGTTTATTTCCTTCTTTCCCCTTATATATCCTTATGAATTAATAATATAAATGTAAAAATTGAAATTAGGTTTTTATTAGGTATTGCTGTTAATACTATACAGAGTGCATCAAATAGGAGGTTGGTTAATCTCCTTACTTATGCTGCCTGTAAGAACATTTTTCTTAAATGGATCTCTGATAAACTGCCAACGGTCTCAGAATGGCTTATGGTGATATTTTATTTTCTTTCATTGGAATATATTACCTACAGGTCAAAAGGGGAAATGGATATGTTTTATCAGACATGGAACCTATTTATGAATCTAAAATTGATGCAAGTATAAGGATTTTTTTTTTTTTAAACTTTTTTAACATTTCTTTCTTTCTTTCTTTCTTTATGATGCATGTATCTGTGGCAGAATGCACTTTTTGTGATCTGTAGTCATTATTCTTTTGTTTTGTTAAAATAAAGAATAAAAAAAATGTGTACACACATCTACTCACATATATACATGGTGTAAGGAAAACATGTTATTAGTTTTACGTAATGGATGTAACACATTACATTTTTTAAATAATTGCATTTAAATATTTCTTGAAAATAAAACATTTGTTTTAAATTAAATTTAACACTTTCAGTTTTAAACATTCTTTTTTGTTGTTGTTTTTCATTTATTGATGACACTCCTAAATGCCATGGACTGTTAACTGGCTGAGCCTGACCAGAACATTTTTCTGAAAGTCTGATATAGAAATACCTTCTTAATTTATGTCACAAGCATATTCATTCTTTTTTTTCTTCTGATTATTATTATTTTTTTTTTTTACAAGTTAAAAACAGGAACAGGAGTGACCCATAAACTCTGTTTCCGTTGTCGGAAATAAAAATGATGCCCACAGTCAGTACTGTACATTCATACATAACTTGAATAATTGGAAAGTAAATCTGATTATAAAGACTGTAGAAAAGTGATTAAAATGCGTAGAGAAATACAGTTGTTATTGTCTATTAAGCAGCTATTACCTCATTTATAGTTCTCCAGCCATCAGCTCTGCTTCCAACCATATGTTACAGTGCTCCATTTATTTAGGGAGCTTTGGCCCTGCTCGTGCATTTATCAGTGAGACAGCAATTAAGATCTGGTGAAAGCGGAAGGCGTTGTGAGATTGCAGCTGATTCCCAGACCCAAGCTGAATGTTGAGAGGAGGGAAAGGGAGAAAGGGAAGTGACTGTTGACGCAGGAACAAAGACATGACTCTAGTGTGCTGAGGAACATGAACTGAGATGTTCTTTGCTATTTCAGTTCCAGTGGTATGGAGCGCAATGCTGCATTTTCATAAATCACTGCTATAATATATGGCAATTCAGCCTGATTCTATATCTCCAGTCCGATAATCTCTTCCTCCGTTGTGAGGACAAATGGTTGTGCTATATTATGATTATAGTCATGACCATTTCACAAACAAATATATTTGTTTGTGAAATGGCACAGTTTTATAAATATCACACACACACACATATACACATACACACACACACATACACATACACACACATATACACATATACACACACACATACACACATATACACACACACATATACACACACTGATGCGCTCAGTCAGAGAGTGTTCGGCGAGTGAAAATATATCTGAGCTAAACTTATACTTAGCCTCCAACTCACACACTGGCGAGTAAAATCTGAGAATTTATTAGCAATTGGCTAATATTAGACATCATTTAGTCGCCAGAGTGAAGATTTAGTCGCAAATGCGAGTGATTTACTCGCAATGTAGAGGGTTGCTAAAGGTCATTGGTACAGCATGCAGTGAAAATCATCAATTCTGTCATCATTTAATCACTCTGTCATTCCAAACCTGTATGCATTTATTTCTTCTGCTGAACACAAAAGAAGATAATTTGAAGAATGTTGATAGTCATATATTTTTTTCTCTACAGTGGACGTCAATGGCAACCAAAACCAACATTTTAGTTGCCAACATTCATCAAAATATCTTATTACATGCTGTATTTTTGAGTGAACTATCACTTTAAGAAACTGGCTTTTGTTAGTTAAATTACAAAAGACTGGAAATTATATTGAGGACATTGGAAAAAACTATAAATTGATTATAATTAAAACTTATTTTGTCTGAAACATCTTAATTTGAGAAAGAAAAAATAATGTCACTTAATTATGATAAAAGACAGTTAACATATTTTATTGTAGCTAGTTGCCAAATAAACCTTTATCATTTTCATTTAGTTTAACTTGATAAATGAACTGAAACCGGTATAAAAATGTATAAAAAAAACTATATAGACATATGTTTAAAAAAAAAAAAAAGACAAACACACAACAAAATGACTAAAACTTTAAAAAAAAGTTAAACAGAAAACAAAACTATTTCAAACAATAAATAAAACTATAGTTGTATCTTAATGATACTAAAATAACACTCATAGTGTCACGGTTCGCTACTGTGAGGAGCACGGAGACGAAGGAGCGAGGAGACGAGGAGTGGAATTCCAACATATAGATTTTAATCACATCCAGGGAACAAGGAAACGTAGCAAGGGTAGACATTTACAATTCCGGACAAGGGAGAACAGAACGGGCTAGAACTCAAATAGGGCAGATAACGAGGGGCAGACAGGTGAGGAGGATAACTAATAACAAGGAACACCTGGAACTAATTGAACTAAATGGGGACAGGGACAGGCCCCTCCCGAAAGGCGCGTCCCGTGCCGTACAACATCCAACGGGGAGGGGGGGGTGGGTGCTCTGGAGGTCTCTAGGAGCAGGGTTCCAGGATGGAAGGCCACCAGGGCAGCGCCCGTTCCGGGACCCATGGTGGATTAGGCAGTTCGGGGTGCCATGGCAGATCAGGCAGTTCGGGGTGCCATGGCGGATCAGGCAGTTCGGGGTGCCATGGCGGATCAGGCAGTTCGGGGTGCCATGGCGGAGCAGGCAGTCAAGGAGGCCATTGCGGATCAGACAGTTCAGGAAGCCATGGCGGTGCAGGCAGACTAGGAAGCCATGGCGGAGCCGCCTCCGAGGCGCCAGCCCCCGCCCCGGCCTCTACGGCTGGAGCCCCCCCCAAAAAAATACTTGGGAAAGATAACGGGCTCCGAGGCCCTCCGTGGGCCAGACATAGATGAGCCCTC